GATTAAAAATGTGTGTATTTAAAAAAACTTAATGGAGTAATTAATAGAATGATTAAAAAAAATATAAAGAATGGATTAAAAAAGTATATAAAAAAACTTAAGGATGAAAATTATATAAAATATCAAAATTAAGGACTAAAAATAAAATTTTCCCTTTTGAAATTTGAATTGATTTGAATTGTAGCGGGCAACTGAAAAAATGAAAGATAAGACAGCTGACGCGAGAACAGAGGAGGATTTGCGCGATCAAAATTGCAGTTTTGGCCAAAACGACGTCGTTTTGGATAGGAAATCTTTTTTTCTTTTTTGGGGGGGCATGAAGTGTACCGGTGGAATTTTGTGTACCGGCCGATACACAAAATTCTGGCTGGTACACCGGATTTTGATCGAAACAATTGAATTTTGACCAAAACGAAATTTAACATTATACCGTTTTAATCAAGTATCAAAACCGGTACGGTACGAGATTGACTTCTTTGGTGTGAATGTAGACTAGATAGATAAATATAATGATATTATGTGAGAGAATAAAATCAGATATGGAATCTCAAGAAAAAGTAATGAAATGTGAAGTATAAGTGAATAAGTATCAAGAAGAAAAAAATAAGGTAAAAAAATTTTTTTGATAGATAAAAATTTTTAAAAAATGATTGAGAAAGAATAATAGAGATAAGATGATAATGAGAGAAAGGACGACAACGAGTAAATTTTTGAATATTCTTGTTTGTAGCTCATCAATATAAAAGTAATCTCCAACCAAAAATTGTTACTTTAGAAGGAATGCATCTACCTCAAATTAACATTTTAACATATTATTAAAGTTGAAACAACTTACCTAAATTTATAATTTCATTTCTACTTCAATTATATGATATATTTAGTGTAGATATACATTATATTATATTCAACACTTTGCAAATTGATTCTTTTCTAGTCAATTATTCAAGGACTAAGAAAGTACTATATAAATAATTGTAGATAAATGTTTTTCTATAAAATGATTACAAAAATTTCAAAAATTATGAAGAGCTACAAATCATAATACATATAACCAATGTATATCAATTAAATAATGACTTTATTAACTTGAAAGACTAATTTAAAAAGTATAAAATGGGTTTTAAACGACCCACCTTAGTATAAGCAAGAAGTAATTAAGGGCACTTACAAAGAACCTAAAAATAAAGAAAAAATCTATACAAGAAACTTTAAAATATTTTTGAGATTCTCTCTATCAAAAGTCTAAACTATCAAAAAATTATCAAAATTCTAAACATATTTGTAAAGAACACTGATTGAAAAAGCATACAGTTAATATACTAAATATCACACTCATTAATAAAACAATATTTTCTAGTCCAACATTAATGGTGCAAATACTTAAAGATGCAAAAATGCATATAAAACATAAAAATTGATTGAATCAATTGTATTTTTATTATATTTTAATAATTAAGTTTAGCAAGCGTCAAAGGAAATGTTAAATCAAGAAGTGCATCAATTATTTTCCATTTCTAAATAATGATTACTAAAATTTCAAGGATTATGAATAGCTACAACTTATAGTACATATAATCGATGTGTATAAACTTGATAATGACTTTATCAACTTAAAAGACCAATTTAAAATATACAAAATGAGATTAAAACGAACCACCTTAACATAAATAGGAGGTAAGAATATTTACAAGAAACCTAAAAAGAAATAAAGAGCATCTACGAGTAACCTTATAATAATAATAATAATAATAATAAGGGAAGCTTTCAATATTTTACTGACGGATTTTATAGGTTAAGGGCATCTTGAACTTCAAACCGCAGTAAACAAATTGTGGCGTAAAACCGCTATTATCTTCGAACTTTATGGAAATCAATCTACCATGACTTTGATCTCTTGCTTCTTCATTTCGCGCTCTTTTCAAAATCTATTTGTTCTCAATTTTCTGTCTCTACGTCTTGCTTCTTTTATCAGTACTTCTTATCAGCCTACCTGTTTTGAAAATAGAACATGCAACTAAAGAAGATTTACTCCTTAGCCGAAAGCCTGGAGGAGCTATTGGATACATGCGGTATCAGAGGATTGATTATTCTAAGCCTCTCGCTGCAGGCTTTCCTAATTCTGTTTTCACCGTTAAGGAGGAGAACAGGTGGGAAATGGGTATGGTTCGTCACGATTCCAACCTGGATGGCATACTTGCTTGCAGATTGGGTTGCTATATTTACTATTGGAGTCATCTTGCGTGCTGAAAGTAGTGACATACTACCCCTTTGGGCACCCTTTCTTTTGTTGCATCTTGGTGGCCCCGACACCATTACTTCCTTCTCTCTAGAGGATAATGAACTCTGGATCAGGCACTTGTTGGGGCTTTTGTTACAAGTTGGTTTAACTGTCTATATTATCCTTCTATCAGTACTCTCAAATGACATACTTTGGCCCCCAACCCTCCTAGTGTTAATTGCAGGGATAATCAAATATGCAGAGCGCAACCGTGCTTTCTATCTTGCAAGCTTTGACCATTTTGGGGATAACTGGGAAAGATTCATACCGTTCATGCCTCGGATCCCAGTACAATTTTTAAATTTTTTATTTTTTTGGATGATAAAAGAGATAGAAGAAGAATCCTTTCCAGAACAAATTGCTGGGCATTTGAGGCGGATGATTGACAAGTTTCAGAATATGATGTGTCTTGGAAGCCGCAATCAAGAGAATCATCAGAAAGGTTCGAAGGAGATAGAAACAGCGAAAGGAACAAGTATAAAGGCACTCTGCCTCCTTGGTGATATTAAGAGCCTACTTGTAGGTACTCCTTTGAGTTCATTTGAAAAATTGCTTCCTGCTGAAGATATGCATGAGATGCTCCGAGCCATAGAGATCCATCTAAGCCTCTTGTATGAGCTTCTTCATACAAAGTTGCCTGTGGTTGATTCCAAGATTGGTTATGCTTGCCGCATCATTAACCTTGGTTGCATTTTGGGAGCCTTTGTGTCATTCTCATTACTTAAGAAGCACCTGCACCACTATAAGTTGTTGAAGTTTGATATTTGGCTGACCTACGTGTTGCTGATCGGGGCTTTGGCATTGGATTTGATATCCATCATTTTACTCACTTTCTCTGATTGGATTACTATGGCTCACATCCCGGAAGTAAGGAATTCTCTTAAATTCATCGACACATGCAGATGGTCTAATTCAGTTCCCCAATTAAATATTTTAGCTTGTCGTTTCAAGAATAAAGATGGTGATCATCCTAACAAAATGATTGATTTGCTTGGCATAAGGAATTTGTTAGAAACCATAAGAAGATCAATCCTGTGTTTGTCCTCCAAAGGTTTTGTAGAAAACCAAGTGTGGAGCTTCATTTTCACTACAATAAAGGAAAAGAATAAAGCAGGCAGTGCTTATGCAGATTTTGCTTGGAGCCTTAAGAAGTTTCAACACATGGAAAGCCTTCTGATGTGGCACATAGCCACTGAAATATGCTACCGAAACAGCCCCAGCTCTACCTCTACATCTAATAATAGTTTTAATCACAGAGAAATATGCAAGTTGCTTTCAGATTATATGTTTTACCTTCTGGTGATGGAGCCTACTATGATAGATGGCTCGCCTAAGAATTTGAATGAAGTATTTGACGGTCCACTCTGGAAATGGCCAGATATCATTAGAGGTGAAAAGGGATCCATAGAAACAATCTTTAAAGATTTGGACAAGCTATTGTTGGAAGAAGAGAAAGACGTGAACAAGCTGTTGGAGATAACAAAGGCAGTGGACAAGGACTAGGACGAGGATCTGCTAACCCTCGAGAAAAAGATAGAGAACGATTTTTTCTCTAAGAGAGGGGAAGATTATTTTTCCAGGGTAACTGCTGCCTGTTATCTTGCCCGTGAGCTCCTCCGTCCGCGGACTCAGCAGAGTCTGTGGGAATTAGTGGCTAAAATTTGGGTAGAAATATTATGCTATGCTGCTATTCATTGCCAACCCATTGTCCATGCACGCCAAGTAAGCAGAGGCGGACAACTTATCACCTTGGTGTTGTCTCCAAAATCTCCTTTTCTGGCCGCGTGGCAGATAAGACTGCGAAGGCGTGCCACTCACTTTGCTCAAAGTGAGAAAGAGGGATTCCCGGTGACCCTCACTACTTCCAAGCGTGGAACTCGGCTGCGAGT